GGTAATTAATATCAATTAATTAATAACCTACTGCGTGATTTCATCAAAATGTCTTACAATTAAGCATTCCTTGTCAAGATTTGACTGAATGTCACAGACGATTAAAAAGAAATCGATTTTATGTGTCATTCGCACTATAGTCGACCAATCATTTCTCTCCAAATCAGTTCCCAAACATAGCTGAAGTCCAACTATACCCCAGTGTATTTGTCGTAACAAATAAGTCATGTTATTCATAGATTTTATCAATAAATCGGAATTTTCTTAGAAAGAAATATTGGATTTACTTTGATCCAGTGCTTACTTCACTCGGTATGAAATGTTACTGGTTAGATGAATCATGCTGGAGTACGCTGGCAGTACTTAACTGCCATAACTGAGTTGTAATGAAGATAAGTAATAAAAAACTTGATCTATATGGGTAACTACAGAGAATCGGAATCGCGGTTATTATATGTTATTTGAATGTGGTAGGAAAAAGTAGTATTTGACGTGTAAAATAGCTGAAACAGTTATTCACGACAGTAACGAATCCATTATTTTCTAAAGCGTGAATCCTAAAGGTCACGAAGTACACAAAAGTGTACTGATAGAGACATACACAATCCAAAACTTAAAAAAGCGAGTTCTTTTATGAGGCAAAGATTGATAGACACTACGCCATTGACAAAGTTAATTTTTGATATCCAAGTGTACATGGAATAGGACATGCAGTGTGGAAAATTTTCGAACCAGGGTTAACAACTTCCCTCTATTACTGTTGTAGTGGCTGATGCTATGCCGAGCCCATATAGGCTATTTCAGCTTCTGCACATACCAATTTATTCACTCTTCTCAAGCTACATTTTGACCTTGTCACTAATTCGCTTACTAACCATGACTTCTTTTATGATGGTGTGTGCACGTATTACTTACCCTATTCATCAAATGTTTGTGACCTATTTTTGTTTTACTATGAATGTCGATTCACGCTTGGTAAACTGGAGTTGGCTCGCATGTTTCCTCCGACTCGTTTCGTTTCTCTCCTCTTTGCTAACTTAACTGCTCTTCCCTGATTGTCCGTTCAGATCAACGATTGTATGAAATGTACATATTTGAGATTCATTCTCGTATTCGACTTATTTAATTCAGTTACTCATCAATGCGATCTAAGTCAATGATTATATACGAGGGGAGCGGGGATGTATATATCAATAACAATCATTCATACGATTAACCTGGAGGCAGATAAATGGCCACAAAACTGTACAGGCAGTAATCATGTCCGTGAAAGATTAGCCTAAATTATACGCAATTTTCTAGATGAGGCTTTTATGATATATCATAAGTAGTTTTCTGAAATTACTTCGAAACCAATAATTCATGTAAATGTCTTTTCATAAGGTATATAACATATATTTGTAGAGGGATTCGGAATATTATCGATGAGTCCAGAAGTATATGGTCCATGTTACTGATTGTTGTGAGGGATGTGATGTACCAAATAATAATTTGGTGCGGATGCATGATTAAGGGTCCTCAGTTAGGATGTGTCTAGTAAAACAAATTAGGTTAGCATAAATATCGTAGACTTGCAGAACCTGGCTACCAAGAATGTTTGCCAACGAAAAACCTGTCAGCTCTGAACGTCTGGCTCGTCATATACCGAGATTCTCACAACACTACTCATAGAAAGTGTGGTGCAGTGGTAAACAAATCCTAAATACAAATAGCTTCGTAGCCTAGCGACATTATTACTGAGCATATAAATTTCTCCGAAGTCGTGATCAGCCAGAGGTGTTTAGTCAAGTTTTGTATGATATCACGCTCCAATGCCTCGTGTAAAACACCACCCACACAACTAGCCAGTTTTGATACTATCAGTTACATCCTCTTCTCTGATCACGATTGACGTTTGGCTTAATTGGCTTTGGGACCATTTCATTTGTAGAGATCCAAACAATATACTATCAAACTCTTCATATCTAATACCTCGTAAGTTGTAAAACAAAGCCTAGAAGTTTCTAGAAATTTAGATAGTTTGATTGCCTAACTGTTCAGAACCTTATTCGGTGTTTATTAAATGTTCCATCTGAGAAAAGCTCCCATATAGTATTCACATGAAGCTTTTTCAAAGAAGAACGGAGGACCATAGTACTGAAATAATAAGACAAACCCTTATCAGCTTATCTGATAACACTTTAGCAGTAAATAAACACCAAAACTAAATAGGTTTTGTAGTTTTATACGTTGCTGTTGACCTCATTCGTTGTACTGGACATAATTGACTGTAGGTTCTCGTTCATGCACGCACCAGATCACGAGTGGATACACCGTACTACACGTCCTTTGCAACTGCTTATCAGTGTAGCGGTAAATAAATCAATAAAATAGATAGGTCTGTAAGTTTTCGACATTGGATGCTGACCACATCAGTTTTCATGGACTCACCTAGCTGAAGGCACTCGGTCATGCATCGGCACCAGATCACTAGTGAGAACGCCGTGCTCAACAACCCCTGCAATCGCTAGTCAGATTAGATCAGACCATCCTCCGTATATTGATAGCCTATCAAATATATCTTGGGACCTACTCGCTTCTGTCTCTTGATTTCACTTGGTGGGTACGATCCATACTAGGTGTTACTAGTTAAAGCGTTGACAAACTTCGAATACCTGTGGCATCATCACCAGCTTAGATCAAACACTTCTCGACATCCAAATGCTCTCCAAGTATACATTCGGATCTTTTATTTGTCTTTTGATTTGACTTAGTTGGTATACTTCGTTTATAAATGTGTTCCGTGTAAAGAAGTTGTCAAACTCTGAATATCTGCAACATCTTCGGCAATGAACATGTAACTTTCACAATTCAAAAGAATGAAGTAGAAAATGATTACAGTGTATAATACTTCGCGCATTCTTTCATTCCACTAGCCCAGTTATACCCTTCAGCACGAATTACAGTTAATTGGATATCCATTTAAGATAGCACGCGAATGAAGACACCCAAAAATTCGTTCAAAATTTTTCGTGGTTACAAACTGTAAATGGTGGAGGCCTGATTGTTACAAAAGATAACCCAACATTTATTTTATTCCGGTAATTATTCAGGCAAATTGCTCTAGTTGTAACCAACTAGTTAGCCTTCACCTTACCAATCGATATTTTGCCCTTAATATTTGAGAAGGACAAAAATTAAACCCATCGCCTCGTAACCACTAACCTTTTTATACATCTAGACTTAGATTCTCCGTGACGAGTTTGAGATTTCTGCTAAGTAAAGTCTTTAGTCTCAGTATGAATACAACACGGTGTTGCTAGAATCTTATATTTTTCACTCTCATCTACTATCAAGAAATAGTCATAGGTGGGAGATTAATGTTTACGTATGTTGAAAACATGAGAGCCTCGATGACCGCCTTCATCAAAAAGAATTTACCTGCTCTGAACATTTTGAGCATGTGGGCACAAGACTACTTGGTTCAACATTGTTTATACAAGTGCGAAAAAACTTTCTGTTTCTGAAATTATTGAAAAGTGTATATGTTTGAGGCTGGCTCACATCACACCAATTTTCAAAGGAGGTCGACGCAGCGAACCTTCAAGTTACCTACCGGTGGCTTCCGCTTCATACCCTCAAAAATCATGGATTCCTTGATATGCGATGGTATAAATGACTATTTACTGTCCTTAAATTTCTTCTCACCCCAACAGCATGGTTTCAGGAAGGGCTACTCTTGTATTACCAACCTGCTGACTGCGGTGGACAGATGGACAAGCATCCTTGTTTGCAAGGGGAAGGTTGATATCATCTACCTAGATTTCTCAAAAGCTTTTGATAGGGTTAAGCATACATGTCCTATCAATAAGCTCAAACGATTGGGTACCAGACCAGCTCTAATCGATTGGCTCACTTCATACCTGAAAAATCGACATTTTAAGGTCAGGGCTAAATTCAATTTATCTCAGGCCATGGAATGTCCTGGTGGGGTCCACAGGACTCAGTACTAGGACATCTCTTCTTGATTTATATAAACGGTCTTCCTCAACAGGTATCGTCAGACTCATTACTTTTCGCTGATGATGTGAAACTCTGGAGAGAGATACGAAACTAAGAGGATATACAGGCACTTCAGGAGGATCTGACTCGACTTCAAAGTTGGGCAGACGATAACGGACTTACGTTTAACACTTCAAAGTGTAAAGTAGTCCATCTGCGACATGTTGCAAACTACAGTTATAACTTAGGTACCTCCTCTCTAGCAGTACCCCAAGTCGAAAAAGAGTTAGGAGTACTGGTACCCTACGATTTAAAGTCTTACGCTAACTGTGACAAAAATGCCTTCCGAGCAAACCTTGCACTGGTAACATTGAAGCGCATTTTTGGCCAGTTTGACGGAAGAACTTTCCATATAATCTTCAATAGTTTTATCCACCCTCATTTGGAGAACGGAAACATAGTATTTCCCCCCTCATCCCAAAAGGATAAGGACATCCTGGAGCGTATCCAACGGCGAGCCACGAAATCAGCTTGAGGACTTAAATTTAAACCTTATGAAGAGCGCCTCCATTCACTTACCCTTTACCCATTAGAGTATAGACGTCCTAGAGGTGACCTTCTGATGGCCTATAGTATCCTTAACCATTCTGGACATCCTCTCAAACACCTACTTAAGCTTAGTTCCAACACTAACCTAAGAGGTAACACCCAAAAACTGGAGACACAACATAGCAGAACGGACTGTAGACACAACTTCTACTTTTTAAGAGTCGTCAAATGCTGGAATTCCCTGCCGAGCGAGCTAGTCCAAGCAACTTCCGAGGAGTCCTCTAAGAGGCAACTTGATCTATTATTAAGGACTGTGGATAGTATCACACTATGATTTACTAATTTCTTTTCCTCTTTTATTGTTAACATACCTAGGTTTCTGTCTGGAGGATTTGGCGATCCCCTGCTACTAGATACGGAAGCCTGTTAAGCGAAAGTTTCTATTCCGTCCACAACCATTTGAATCACTTGAACATTGAACCTATTTTGCAGCGAAAATACGGTGTGCAGGCTACATGGTTTCGGGGCGGGTTCTGGGGGTTTTTATGTTTAGTGTTGGGTTTTTGTGTGGATATTATTTTCATATTCTTCACCTAAAGTACCTTCGTAAAAAGCAAAACTTCTTCCAGAACCGTCTCAAAGACGTTGAAAACAAACTCAAGAGTTACTAAGTATCCATCCTTTCAACTAGCTTAAAACAATTGACTATTACTCATTTGCTGATGTCCTCTCAAGTTAAGGAAGATTTATATGGTGTATCATGGTCTAATCCAGCATGGAGTCACTTCCTTTGTTCAGCAAACGTTCTCGACTATTTTTGTGACCTTTCCAATCCCTTTTATGATAGGCAGTGTAATAATGAGGTTATTCGTATGCAAAGACTCCATCCTGAGCAACTGTTGTGCATGACAGGTGTTGAGTTCTATCTTCATCACGCTCAAGTAAGTCTGTTGAGTCCGAAGTTTTTTAAACTACAAGCTCTTAATCAACGTCTTAGTCAATTTTTTACTTTTCGTCACCTATAACTCTAGCCCATCCAAGAACTACCCACATAGGAAGTCCAGTTTGCCCATCTAACAGCAAAGGTGTGGCTTAGCTTATCATCATCACACAACGCTCTATATGAGTGTTAAGGTGACACGGGACCGAGTCCGCCGGGGGGCACCAGTTCCCTCAAGATCACAGGTACACCTTGCTGGCGAGTGTCAAGTAGCATTAAACCCGGGTCCAGGGTTCCCTGTTGGATACCTCCAACTACCATCTTAAAACGAGACTTGGGTTGTGATACCCAGCAAGTCCGCTTTTAAGACCTGGTCTACAAGCAACAGAGATTCTCGGTTTAAAGCAAAAGATGTGTTATGATAGCCCTCTGAAGACTAATCATGCCTAGTTTTCACTGTCGCTTTACTGGGCTATCCGGGCCGCGACCGACCTCCTGCAGGACTGGGATGTAATCACAATTGCTTGATCACTGGGTGGTAATCAATGTCATGTGTATTAAGTCCTTAGTGCAGATCGAATGCCACCAGTCTAAATGACTGAACATTGTGTTGAGATAAGATGGTAGTTGTCGGTCGATAGCATTCGATCTGCACTAAAAAGGACTTGACAGACATGAGATCGATCACCACTCAGTGATCAATCAATTGTGGCTTCGTTCTGTTTTCTTTTCATGATTTTACCCTTGCAGTATATGCTATTGGATCTCTAATTGAAGGCTGGAATGATGAGATTATAATTTATGGATGACCTTCAAGCGTCACCTAAATGACTAAGAAAGCTCACCCACCTGTTAGGGTCTACAGAGGGTTATCAATTAGTGCGAGAAATCAGAATTGATATTAAAACTTAGAAGTTAGGGTTTTAATCACGGTCTAGACCGTGATATCAGCTGATATCGACTATGATGCCAAAATGTTATTTAAGCATATGAATGGATGAATTTCACGCCAAAATTCAAAACCTACTTTCTAAAATTTGATTAGTTTGTCCATAAACCAGTCTCACCCACAAAATAGGTATGGCTGAATACTTAGTTTACAAACGTTTATATAGTTAGTCAGCTCCGTAACTTTTAAAATTGGTAACTAATTTGTAAAATCCAAGAATCACACGAGCTCTATGTCTTGTTGCTCTAAGTTTTGGTTGTTCTCACTACATATGTGGGGCTGTTACTTAGCCATCCAAGCTTTGAATTCATCCATTGGATATTGGGTTCAGGTGTTGCCGTAGTGGAGTATTATTCTAAACTTTCAAATTGCGCTTCAGCTTAGTACATCGACTTGCACATAGGTCGCATCGCATTAATTATTTACAAACAAGTAGTCCTCCTGTTTTACATGTATCGGTAGAAGTGGGCTTATAATAAGCAGTGATAAAACCAGCATATAGCACTAACTGAGGCCTTTAACTATGAGTGTTGTCCATATGGAAGAATTCGAACTTTCTGGTTAAGGTTAGCGAAACGACTGAAATGTGTTTCAGAACTTAAAATTACCAGTCATGGGTGCATTCTTCTTAACCTTACTACACATTATAGATATTTTATCATTCTACACCCGCCCTCATATTTCTACCTCTGTTTCCTGTTCTACAGTCGGTTGAGTCACAACGTCAAGTTTGGTCTGGACATCCAATAAATTTATTTTGCTTTCTAAGCATATATGAATCATTCTAATGCCTGTCTGTCCTTGTGTACTGAATTAATACCAGTTCCTTATGTGCCTTTCCCGTGAATTATGTTGACTTTTATCATTCAGTCACACGCAACGTAGAAACTGACACGTGTATGCATCAGTTCGAGTTGCCGCATCGCATTAACACAGAAAGATAAAATTATCAAGAGTAATGCTAACGTAGTAACAGTAGTAACCGTATCAGTGGTATTAAAAGAGATTTCACACAAATGATATAATTCAAGAACAAACCATCCACAGAATAAAGAGTAAGGGGTAACTTTAAAACGTAAAACTTAAGGAAACACAAAAAGTAGACACATCTGAGCCATTGCCACTTATTTTGAATCATGTCACCAAACATCACCAATAATCGGAAAAGATAATGCCGTTGACTCTAAACAGGTAGTCTGCACCTACCTAGACGGCTCAATCCAGTCAGTCAGCTACAACGTAGGACCAGACACATGCATCGGTCCAAGTTGCCATACCTCATTAACACAACAAGATGGAGACCGGATTCATAAAAGTAGTTAATTCAGAGGTGGTAATATATAAAAGAAAGATTGCAATAAGGATATAGTACACGAAGAAAGAATTAGTTCGTAGAAAGAAAGATATGAAGCAATTTTAATCTCTTAGTTTAAGGGAAGATAGAGAGTGTATACACCGAGGCCATTGTGATCGATTCTGAGCCATGTCACCAAGAGTCTCCAACCATTGGTTACGATAGTCACGCGGACCCCAACCAAGTAGTCTGCATCTACCAAAATGGCAAAGACTAGAAGTTAATGTCTTCATGCACTGATGTCACGTTTTGGTTTGGTCGCCCCTAACTTTCTTCCAACCATCCCGAACACCGGTTAGCATTGCACGTCGTGGTAATCGGTGTTTGGGCATACGTAACACGGCCCAACCATCTCAGACGATGAAGATTCACAACCTCATCAACTGATTTACCATCATTCCCTAATACCCTGAGTCTAACCTCCCTATTACTTACCCGGTGATCCCAGCAGATGTCAGCAACATTTCTAAGGCATCTGTGATCAAATATTAGTAGCTTACGAGTGTCTTCTACTCTTAATGGCCATGTTTCGCAGCCGTAAATTAAAACAAAACGGACTGCCGCGCAGTATACTCGTCCTTTTATTGATAGATGGATATCTCGCCTTCGCTATAGGTGACGGCTCAATCCAACCGTTATTGGATTCATGGATGGATGTCCCGTTTTTGGTTTGGCTGATCCACTTTTCCTTTAGCCTCATACAACAGTAAACAACTGTTTAGGTATTTGGTGGTTTGACATACGTAATGCATGTCCCAATAACCTCATTTTATTAAGACTCATTACGTCACCAAACAGTTTGCTATCTTTAACTAGTACCCTTAATCTAAACTCAACTATGCCCACTCGGTGGTCTCAACATGAGCGAGCAGTACAAAGGCATCTATGATTGGACATGCCCCGACCACCTCGATTGATGAAGATTTACTACGTTGTCAATCGATTTGCCATCCTTACTCAGTACCCTATTCCTAACCCAGGCAGTGCTTCGAAGAAAACTGATCGAATAACAGTAACCTACGAATATTCTCTATTCCTAATGGCCATGTGTCACATCCATAAATTAGAACGGAGCGAACTGCTGTGTAGTAAACGCGTCCTTTGATTGAAATATGGATATCTCACCTACACCACAAGTAACGCAAGTTGGCAAAAGCCGATTGCGTCTTCTGAATCCGTGTAGAGATTTCGTCAGACATCAGGACTGATGAGGATCCCAAAGTGAATAGAGTGGTTGACACTCTCTACTACTTAATTCTCCATCACTAACTCAGGCGCTGACGCAAGCCCATCCTGAAGCAACATTTTGCAATTGCAAGGTGAGAATCCCATCCCAAACATGTTTGCATTGTTGTATAAAGTGGTCAGAAGATTGTATTTGTCAGCGTCCTCACCAAACAGATTTATGACATTTGAGTATTCTAAGCAAATAAGTGAATCTTCTGGCGAAGATCAACCGCTGAAAGGTTAGAAGAGGAAAGTGTTATCTCTAAAAGCATGTCTATAACAAAGTCAAATGAAAATGGGGAAAGCGGACAACGCTGACGAGTACCAATTGAAGCAATTAATGCCGATGACAGTTTGCAATATATTTTATATCAACCAATGCTTTTTCAGTAAAAAGCTTTTAGTTGCTCGATATCTGATCTATACATCCACGTCCATGCATGAAATACACCTGGTTTTCTTGGTTTTGCTCTTTACAAACTCTGGTTTGGCGTCGAATTATCAATGAAGCTAATATTTTAGATATCATATTAGTTAAACTGGTTCGTCTGTGATTGTCACAAGAATATTTTTCTCCTTTTTATAAATTTGAGCAATCATGACCTGTCAGACTGGATTTCTTCCAAATTCTAGTTAAGACTTAAACATACAAACTCAAGTGGAGGTGAGCGTTCTGTAAAGTGTGATCGATAAACGAACTCACCAATGATAAAGTGAAACGCCCACCACCACATTAACTTTCTTTGACCTTGTATGACTGTGTCTTTCTTATTCATCAATCACAATTTTTATGTTCATTATAAAACAATATTCGCCTTGTTGACTCATTTCCCCTATCCTCTAGTTACTGTTCAGTATGTTATTTATGTCTCCGTTTTTCCCTGTTTTAATAGACTGTACTGCTTATTTTGTACACTAACGGTGTTAATTTATGCCTTAGAAACAGATAAAGTTTATCAAACCAGATAGCTTACTTGTTCTGACTTTGGCTAAACCAAGACTCTGTGCTCGACAGTCTAGAGAATAACTTAGAGTTACACCTGTAGGAAATCGCTTCCTACACGTGCTCTAGATCTATTGTCGAAAGATTTATTTAGTTTTGTGAATACACTTAGACGTCAATCATGTTATTATTTTCTGTCGTAGACTGGATTCTGTGTAGCTCAAATGTTCAATTCTATGCGCTAGTTGTGTCAAAATCTTTTTACTAGGAAAAGCAATGTAGCTTTTTCGAAAGATTTTGTATTAGCGAGTCTCATTAGATATCATTGGTTGCTTAATTAGAATAGTGAATCTCGTCCATAAAAAAAATTTTTTTATTTAAAAACCAAGACCTATGTTAGAAGAAAGGAAAGTAAAAGGGATTGTTAATTTTGTTTCATTTTTTATAGGAACCCATACTGTTCATAATACGAAAGCAGCAACGTTTATCTCCAACTCAAGTCACTCCATTGGCTTATTACTATGTGATTAATGGGACAGTACTTCAAGCGCCAGATCTTTCTACTCTCCTGAACTCTCGTTTGTTGACAGCGATTGTAGGGTTGAAGAAAGTAATCCAGGTATTATTTTGGTTTTGGCATCATTATTCTTATTCTCATGGTTTGAATTTCAATTTGGAAACACTGTTTTGTGTGTATAACATGTTAAATAGATCGTGAATTTGACAAAACTTCCAACAGAATGATCAGGTTTTCTTTAATGTTGTCAATGTTTAGTTGTTTTTGGATTTCTACTGAAGCCTGCACTCAATAAGTTACAAGTACATATCACAGCGTATGATGTTTTCGTCTGTCACCCAACAATTCCTGTGATGTTGTTTAACAGCTTTTGCATAGAAGACTGTGGCATAATTATTGGTCCATTCTTCCATGTGGCTCTTTATTTGGTTGAAGATAGTTTTCGAGCCTTGTCTACATGGCCTCAGCGTCGTTTATGTGTATTCTAATATAGGGATTCACAAGGTACCGTTTATGTACACGACAGGTGTATCCAAATCATGGTAAGCATTTAAAAGTCTTCTAATCATGTGTTCTCGTTGCCGTCACTTGAATCAACGTATTTTTTAATTATGGGTATTACAATTGATGCCACCCCATCTGAGTCATCTCTCCTTTTTTGACCTTCGGTTTAATGCATGAACTTAGTTTCCAAAGAAACATGGTTTCGCATCTTTAACATCGAATTAAAAAGATTTATGTAATCTCGTTATAGTAGTCTTACTTGAGAGAAAAATCTGTTTTGAAAAATACAAAAAGCTTTATACTGATATAATTCACTCATTAGTAATCATTAAACTTGTGCTTTTGTAGACATTAGGTCCCTGTGCTCGGTATCATCCTTCAGACGGTTCCTATTCCTGGGATGACCCTAATGTTTTGCTTGGATATAATAAAGAACCAGATCAAACTTATACAAAATCTCAGTCTACCTCAAATACTGAAAGAGATCTATATAAAAGTGCAAATTTATTTCAAGTTCAAAGAACAGATACCCTACTTGCTGATTGGATGAATCGTTTTCCTGTCCCATCGGCAAGTTTTATTCAAAATCTAGCCAACTCAGGACAAACGTCATCTGTACCGACAGTTACTTCTGCAGTTAACGCGAGTAGAGTCGTTTCTCTTACATCAGCTCAAACTGTAAGATATTTCCAAGAATCTATTCACACAACTAATGTAGTCATTTAATCTGTATTTATTCACGTTATCAAAACGATTGAAGATTTAAGTCAGACTTTACTGAAAAATTATTAATGATCATAGTCTAAATCATGAAGTGATCTCAAAATACCCACCATAACCAGAAAGCACGGACAACTATTTCGTATTATTTTTGATGTTTGAACTACTTTAATCTTTCGGTAGAAAGCAGAAACTTGGATTATAATTCTTGTTTGGTGATCACAATATTTCTAGTTTATTTTGTTTAATTTACACGCACTTTTACTAGTAAGTGCCGTAGATATTTACAGTTTTAAATTCTTGATGTGTAACACACCATTCGTTTTTATTTGAAGTAAGCATAGCTAGAAGATCGACATAGACAAAAAAAAATGAAAAATTTGAAAGTAGCTAGGGAAAATAAAACTTAAATTATCGGTTTGGAACGTAAACATACATACCGAAACCCAACAGGTTTTTCGAAAAAAAATCATTGAAAGCAGTAAATAAACCGCTTGAAAGCTCTTTGACACAATTAGTCGAACCAGAGCTCATTGCAAACTGTCATCGGAATTAATTGCTTCAATTGGTACTCGTCAGCGTTGTCCGCTTTCCCCATTTTCATTTGACTTTGTTATAGACATGCTTTTAGAGATAACACTTTCCTCTTCTAACCTTTCAGCGGTTGATCTTCTGCCAGAAGATTCACTTGTTTGCTTAGAATACTCAAATGTCATAAATCTGTTTGGTGAGGACGCTGACAAATACAATCTTCTGACCACTTTATACAACAATGCAAACATGTTTGGGATGGGATTCTCACCTTGCAATTGCAAAATGTTGCTTCAGGATGGGCTTGCGTCAGCGCCTGAGTTAGTGATGGAGAATTAAGTAGTAGAGAGTGTCAACCATTCTATTCACTTTGGGATCCTCATCAGTCCTGATGTCTGACGAAATCTCTACACGGATTCAGAAGACCCAATCGGCTTTTGCCAACTTGCGTTACTTGTGGTGTAGGTGAGATATCCATATTTCAATCAAAGGACGCGTTTACTACACAGCAGTTCGCTCCGTTCTAATTTATGGATGTGACACATGGCCATTAGGAATAGAGAATATTCGTAGGTTACTGTTATTCGATCAGTTTTCTTCGAAGCACTGCCTGGGTTAGGAATAGGGTACTGAGTAAGGATGGCAAATCGATTGACAACGTAGTAAATCTTCATCAATCGAGGTGGTCGGGGCATCTTACGCATGCCAAACCACCGTGTTCCTTGACGAACGGTGTTTTTTGGTTTAGGAGTAGACTGGATCAGAGCTAGGGGTGGTCAAATCAAGAAGTCATTCGTAATATGGCTGAGACATGTTAGTGGGTTTAGGCCAAATTTTTGTAGACTGCGTGATCATGGTAACGAGTTTTTAAAGGCTGAATGAAATGGTTCAATATTTTTACAATTGGGCTGGTAGATTCAGTGTGTTTTTCTCTCCCAAATTCTGAGCTTTTAGATCCCATACTTTTTGCGTCAGTCGTTCAGATTTCTTTAATCGTATCTTTGATACCCAGTCTTTTCGAATTGTGCCTGTCCTTTTAATGCTTCTTCTGTTCTGGGACTTGCCCTAACGGTGTTATCTCGCTGTGGTCTTGGCTTATGGTAACTTTCAGTGATGTATATTTTGTGCTACGTTCTTTTATTTTGGTTGACTGAGCAATGATTGTGTTGTTTAACAGAATGAATATCCTTTCACTAAGTCAGGTCGATTAACAGTTAATTCATGACTTTTAGAATCACCCAACTCATGTCCTTTGGAAATACTCTGTTTTTTTTCATAGAATATCCCTGTTTTTTTTTTACTTTTCCAGGCATCTTCTGGGAAAGAAGAAAATCTTCAGAACAGCTGCAATTCTCCAGCTAAGTTACCTACACGGCTCCCTACATTACCCGGTGTTTCTGTTGTCCCAGGACCATCACCAAGCACTTCAACGCAGCCATCACTGCTTGTAGACCGAAAACCTCGTGTTTAGCATATTTTTAGTTTCTTCAATTGATACTGTTAAAAGCTGTACAAAAATATGGTTTGGTATAGCACCATTTTATATTTCGATAAGTTTATTTGGCGATCCAATCATGATGTACTCTGATGTCATTTTTACTTAGTAATGTATTCATAAAATTATTACTCTTCTTTTATATGTAAATACAAATTTTTCCTACTAAAAATTGACTTTTGTTCACAGCTTTCCCATAAATTGGAGCGTATAGTTAACATATGGACCATTTTGTTTTCGAACAAAGCATCATGATTCTCTTACGTTACGACAGTGCAATGAGAAGACGAAGTTTATCAGAATTATGTAGTATATTTACGCAATGCATTTCGAACAATCTGATCACACATATACTTGTTAAGACATTTTTATATGAAAATTAAAAGGTCAACTAGATAGGTTAAAGGTAAGCCGTAACAAAGAAAAAAAGTAATAATAAAGTACACAAAAACAATGTTATGACCACCTGTCTAACGTTACTAAAATTTCTGTCCTTGTAAGTCTGTAATCATTTGCTAACATATTCATTTATCTATTTTTAATAGACTAGTGAAAGCTTTGATTTTTATTTGTGCTACTTATTTTTAGTAAGTAGTAAGACTATAATCATTGTTTTTCCGCATTACACAAAAATTATTAACTGTCTTGTTGATAACCATAATTATGAATCAATCTCTTTCTGTGACTACCCTCAGTCATAATACTCTCAAACATTAAATTCTGCGTAGTGAAGTTACGTTTCACAATCGTCTCGATTAGTTTTGGTAGATATCGTTACATTTGGATCTGTTTTATGTTAACAATTTTTCACACATTTAAATTTATTTTCTATGATCATGATTTAATTTTGGTGTGTTGGGTGTTTTAAAGTCTCACTAATTTGTTGGTAGAGTGGGGTTGTTGCTTAACCTGAACAACTACATCTCTTAGTGCTTTGGCCTACTTTACTTGACAAATATTCCCTCTTAAGAAATGTATCAACTGCTCTTGACATTTAATAGGTTGAAGAAAAACTGATAGGAACAAGCTATACTTCATTAATATAGTTCGATGATTAAAGATATGAAATCTTTCAAACTAAGTGGCTTTGTCAAGATTTTATTTAAGGTAGTAAATTCAATCTGCAGTTTGGTTTTGTATAAAACTCAGATGAACTAAACAAAGACTAATGTTTGATTGGTCGTTAATTCGTAACTAACATAATATGTAATCGTTTGTGCTGGTATGGTCTTGTTTCTCAACCTACGATGTGATAACTAAGCTCAGTGACTTGACATTATGGTACAATTTGTTATACAGTTGTTGGCAGTAATCGCTTTCGTGCTTATTAATATTCATCACTATAGTGTATTTAAAATTTTTATGTTATCTGTCTGCTTCGATATTCAAAGACAAATTGCACCAGGAAGTCAATCCACTTATTTTAATACTTGCATTTCAAATTGATCATTATTAAGATTAAAACTTCATGGTGTTGATTACTACTCAGTAACCAGTTATTATAGACATCTCATATTATCATTGAGCCAAGCAGTCGGAATACTGTAATCTACACTTTAACCTTGAATAAAGTTATAATATAGCCGGATTGATCTTTAACTGTAAGAAATTAGCTTATTTTCCATGTGATTGACTATACAGATCGTCGAAATCTCTTTTCGAGTGACAATCAGCCGTTCGCATATCGTCATCATAATTATTAATTGAATGATTTTCAGGACGATTTGAAGTCCATTTTTAATTATAATAAATTGTCATCGTTTTTATTGCTTTGCTTACCGAATATCATTCTATTATAATTCAACTTTGAGTTCACTCAATTTCTCTTCCATTACTTTGTGTTTAGTTTTCTTCATAATTATGACTAAATCAACTTTTTAAAAAAAGATTGCATAATCAATCATCACTGTTTTTTGCCTGCTGCCATATTAAAAAATCCTATTGGTCAGTGGATATTCCATCTTATTATTTATCTAATATTTTAAATAAATGTGGTTAAATAAATCAAAAAAAAAGAAGAAAACTTATAAAGTTCACTTATGAAATGTGATTAGTTGACCTTAGATAACAAACTCTCATCACCTTCATTTAGACAGATTGTTTGTGATTTCTTTTGCCAGAAATATAAAAAAAATATCGAAAGTTTATTGATTTGAATGGAAGGAAAGAATTAAAAGCATAACAATATAGAAACTAATAAAAAAAAGAAGTAGGCTGAGTAGAAAAACAGTTTTAAACTGATCATCATTGCCCAGAAGTTTATCATTCTTTAATCTAACATTATATATATGTATGTAATACTATTGTTCCATCTGTTCTCTAAAATCAGAGTTATTCATTCATTTTTATATGTATACTATACTAACTTACATGACAGTTAACACTTGTAGATTTTGTATAAACAATGTACATGTGTCACGATAGGACCAAAATTACTTCATAAGATGAAGTGAAAATAAGCAAGAATAATAGTAAAATTATTAATCAGATATAATGAACAGATGTAACACACAAAATCTTTAACATTCAGTATGAAAGAGAGAAGAGTATTTTGATATTGTAATTCGATAAGAATATATGAGTTTGAAATGAATTAGGATAAAATAATAATTTCTTATTGAAACAAATTACTATTAGTTTGTAAAATAAACATCGAAATTAATGATGATGTAAAATATCCAACTTCATTTATTGTTTTGTAAATCTGGTTTCTTAAGTTGTGAAAATATTCAGGTTTCTATATGAGATCTAACTCATAACTTTCAAATCTATCAAAACAAGATACTTGAGAGATTTAATAGTTCACCGACACTATACATTAGTTGTGATACTATGAAAAATCCTACTGTTTAATACTAAGTTTTTTTCGATTATTCTTAAAATAATAATAATTGGTAATAGTAATCGGTAAAATTGAATTTTGGCCAGTGCCCTTTTCGACCTATTATTCTTCAGCTACATTGGTTCATATCCCATTACTAGTGTTCGCATTGCGACTGGTACCTTTCATTCTAAATGCCAATCCATGATCCAATTAGATACTGAGTCCAAAGTAGCCATCAATTTGTTTAAAGGATATGAAGGTAGAAGTAAAAATTTGTCGTTTTTCATTGTTAATATTCAAGGTTATATTTGTTTATCTGAACTCAGTAGATTAGTGGATGATGCATTGGTGTTTTAAACAAGAAATATCATGTTCAGATCTCTGTGTAAACATCAACACTGGGATTCGGGTATATTCAAGTGACAAGACACGAGTCTTGAATTTCATTCTTTGCAAAATACCAAATTTACTGAAACTTATCACTAAAAACTTTGTCGAAGCATTATGTTTAAGATGAATATTTACTAATCATTCAAAATCATGTTTATCAACAACAGGAAATTGTAAATCCTTGTTAATGATATTAAGTTCGAATTGAAAATTATTTTTCTAACTGCAGTAACTCTTAAAAAATAAACACATTATTGGTAACAGGCGTAAGTAAGTATGTATAGTTTTCATTATACGATTAGTTGCAATGAAAACAATCAATTGTGTACAGACAAATGTCAATACCACTTTATGTGCTAATTTGTGAATTTATTTATTTTTATAATAGAATAATGATTATCTATTAATGAATTAATAAAAAGGAATACAATAAGAGTATAAATAAATTCAAAGATTTTAGTCATCAATCTTAATTATTTAATAATGGAAGTTAGTTTACTATTTCCTGAAGATGTGTTAATAAGTTTGTCAGAGAAAGGATAAAAATTTTGAATATAATCTCTATTATATATTGATAGTTTGTCAAATGATTCCATCTATAGGTAATCACTGAAAATCGATACTTTTCGTATGTCAATTTTTATTGTTATATAAATTCAATGCTTTCATTCTGTTTATTTAATGTAGTTTTTGATTGAGATCATGAACCGAGTGATGTTAGACCACCCTTGGAAGCCTGGAAGCACTAGACGGCCGTTTCGTCCTATTGTGAGACTCCTCAGCAGTGAGCATCCACGTTCCCGCTCGCGGGATTCGAACCCAGGGCCTTCGGTCCTGCGCGCGAACGCTTGACCTACTGGACCACTGAGCCGGTATCCAATGGTGATAGTGTCTAACATCAACCAATCCACGACACTGCGCGACCAACTTCCATTGTAGTGAGGTAGATACCTGTCTCTACCCGACATGGATTAGTATGGTTTATCTACAATTTCATTGCATATTTTCTTTCAGGAATAAAATAAATTGTATTTAAAATGAATCAAATATTTAATCGTAATTATAATCTAACAAATAGAAGAATCAATGTGTTGTAATAATTTTCACAAGTTTTGTTTTTACTAATCATTTGAATGGATCAAAATTACCAATTTTGCGTTTGTTTTATTTTTGGCATCTACTCAACCTTTTGTCTTCTCTCTTTTCACATGATGTTATTATTATTGTTTGGTTGTGTTGTTTCTTCTCTCTGATTTAAATGTTTCGCTTCCTTTATTTCAACACGCAATTCAGATTGCATTGTAAATTCGCATCAATCACAATGATTTCTTTATAGATAGATCGATAGATAGACAAATCCTTGGATACAGTTTTTTAACAGCTCTATATAGAATAATAATAATGATAATAAAATCAGCAAATATATCAAATCTAGTCAATAGACAGAGAGCAACAAAAAAACTAGAAGCAGTTGTTTAATAAAAGACTAAATATTATCTAATCTAGAGTTTCTCTGCTCAACCAGCATTTGATTTTAAACTGTCTGCGAAGCAATAATTTCCGGATTGTAAAATAAGAGTAAGACAGTGAAATAAACAACAAAACAGGGAGAAAATTGGACACAGAAACACAATTGATTCAATCTTTTGTTTTCAAAATGATTTGTCTTTACGAGTTTATTCATTTGTTAGTTATTGTGTTTTTTATGGTTATATGCGCAGATAATCTGAATTAAAGGTGTATAAATGTCGTTTTGCATACACACTAAATTGATCATGTTGACCAGAGACAGGAAAACCTATTCCTTTCTCAACATTATATATATATATATATATATATATATATATATATATATATATATATATATATATATATATATGTATATAGGTATCTTGTCAATTTTATTATTGCTAATAATGTGTAAAGAAACCTATTAATTGTTTTAAAAGAATG